CTAACACTTGATCAAAAGGAAAGGTTACTAGCTGTCCTCCGTTTGCACAAGCAAGCAATTGCTTGGAAGCTAGAGGATATTCAAGGGATAAGCCCTGCTTATTGCACACATAAAATAGCCATTGAAGACGGATTTAAACCAGTTGTGAAAGCACAACGGAGGTTAAACCCAAAACTAATGGAAGTAGTGCAGAAAGAGGTGCTTAGACTCTTGGATGCTGGAATAATTTATTCTATTTCAGATAGTCAGTGGGTGTCACCAATCCACGTTGTTCCAAAAAAAGGAGGGATGACGGTGACTAAAAATGAGAAGGGAGAGCTATTTCCGGGAAGAACTGTGATCAGTTGGCGAATGGTTATAGATTACAGGAAGTTAAATGATGCCACACGCAAGGATCATTTCCCCCTTCCTGGCCATGCGTATTATTGCTTCCTAGATGGGATGAGTGGTTATTTCCAAATTCATGTAAACCTCGAAGACCAGGAGAAGACCACTTTCACTTGCCCCTTTGGAACCTTTGCATTCCGTCGAATGTCGTTCGGAATCTGTAATGCCCCTGCCACCTTTATGAGGTGTATGATAGCTATTTTTGAAAAGTTTATAGGGGATTTTATGGAGGTCTTTATGGATGATTTCTCTATTACAGGGAAGTCATTTGACGAATGCTTAGGTAATCTTGAGAAAGTTCTCATAAGATGCGAGGAAACTCACTTAGCTCTTAGCTGGGAAAAGTGTGAGTTCTTAGTCAAGGAAGGAATCGTCTTAGGTCACAAAGTATCGAGCCGTGGGTAGAGGTGGACAATGCTAAAATTGAAACTATTGAGAGGCTCCCACCACCAAATTCCGTAAAAGCCATCCGAAGCTTTCTAGGACACGCAGGATTCTACAGAAGATTCATCAAAGACTTTGCTAAAATAGCAAAGCCCCTAACTGCCCTACTAGAAAAAGGTATAGAGTTTGTTTTTAGGGATGAATGTTTACAAGCATTCAGTACCTTGAAAGAAAAGCTGATCTCAGCCCCAATTCTTATTGCCCACGATTGGGCACTACCGTTTGAACTAATGTGTGACGCTAGCGACTTAGTAGTAGGAGCGATGCTAAAACAAAGAAAAGAAAAAGTATTTCGCCCAATTTACTACTCTAGTAAAACCTTTCGGGAGGACATCTTAACTACACAACCACAGAGAAAGAATTCCTAGCAATTGTGTATGCTCTGGAAAAATTCAGGCCTTACAACATTCTTTCTCCAGTTATCGTCTACACCGACCATGCGGTGTTGCGGTACATGCTGCAGAAGAATGATGCGAAGCCTCGGTTATTATGTTGGGTGTTATTGTTGCAGGAATTTGATTTACAAATCAAGGATAGGAAAGGGTCAGCCAATCAAGCTGTAGATCATCTGTCTCGATTAGATGTGGAAATAGCAAAACAGTTTGGCAAGTGTGTAGTAAACGACTCCTTTCCCTTTGAAAGGATTTATGCTATACAAGAAAAGGAGCCTTGGTATGCAGATATCACCAATTATCTGGCAGGAAAGGTCGAGCCTACCTTGCTGACACCATACCTAAGCAAGAAGCTTAAGCGAGAAGCTCACTTCTACTTTTGGGATGATCCGTACCTTTTTAGGATCTGCGCAGATCAAGTGGTTAGGCGATGTGTGAATGAAGTTGAAGGGCAGGAAATTTTGGCAGCCTGTCATAGTGTCCCAGTTGGCGGGAATTTCTCAGGAGCAAGGACAGCAAGGAAAGTATTGGACTCAGGATTCTTCTGGCCAACACTTTTCAAAGACACTAATCAATTTGTTGCTTCCTACGACCGCTGTCAAAGATTGGGCAATATATCTAAAAGGGATGAGATGCCGCAACATTACATGCTGCCATGTGAGGTGTTTGATGTGTGGGGAATCGATTTTGTGGGGCCGTTCCCGAATTCTTATGGTAACAAGTACATCCTCGTCACCATTGACTACGTCTCCAAATGGGTTGAAGCCCAAGCTTGCAAAAGGGATGATGGACGCACTATGGTTCGGTTCTTAAAGAAACTGTTTTCTAGATTTGGAGTTCCGAGACTAATAATAAGTGACAAAGGGACCCATTTCCGGAATGATCCCCTGTCTAAGTGATGAGTCTTCAAATGTTATATTTTATTCTCTCATATTAGCCTATTTTAACATGTTCCAAATGCATTTTATACACATTTAATCACTATTATGTCTATATAACAATTTAGGCCATAATTTATATTTTAATCGTAAAATGCATTCTTTTGAGTATTCTTTTACTTCACTACTTTTATTATCTCATTTACCTTGACGCAGGTTTTAAAGATCGTTTTACAAAGCATTAAAGGGCTCGGTGAGCCCGGGGGCTGTCAAGAATTAGATGAAGAAGTTAAAAGGGCCAAGTCATCTAGGACTTGACCCATAAGCCATTACGCAACTCCAAGCCAACACAAGGGTGTAGAATTAAGAATTTGGAGCCCAATTCAGCGCTGCATCCAGAAATCCCAGCGGATAAATGCCCACCAGAGTCCAAACGAAGCCAAAGGTCTAGAGTATGTCTTCGTTCTAATCTGCAGCATCGAAGCACTGAAGACTCCTACTTCGATTTTACCTGTGCGAGTACGTAGAAGACATAGACTCAGCTTTTGAGTCCTAATTGAAGACGGGAAGTTGATTTCCAGCCCCTAAAAACGCAGCAGCGAGCAGCGAAGGAAGGGGGGAAGAACACGACTAGGGAAGCGGCTGGTACCAAGGACTTAAATTGCAGGGGTACGACCCTAAGGGGGCCTGGGCTTCAGTCTAGATTCTCATATTCTTTCTTCTTTATGTTTTTCCTTTGTTGTTGTCCTTCAACAATTTCTATTCAAGACTTCCAGCAACTTTTTGTCTACTCAAATTTGGCATGTTCTAGTTTGTTTCCCTAGTTGGAATTGTTATCAAGAATTATTTGTTTTGGGTTGAACATCTGCCCTGCACTCATTTTATTCAAGAGTATTAGTTTCAATGTTGTTCTTAAATTGTCCAATTTGTGTTACTTAAATAACATATTTTAATAATTTATGAAAGGATTGAAACTAAGAGTTTTGAATGATTCTGGTGGTGGTTATGTCTAACCTATTTAGCTTGTTGTGTTTGTTTAGTACGTATATATGTTCTTCTAGTTCATCTCTGGATTCCTTAGAACTAGCCTCTAAAATAATTGAACCTCTCTTATCAAAGAAATATTCAGTAGCCCAGTTGAATGCTCGGTTCAAGGATTCTTGATGGAGTAATGTGCTTTGGGAGATGTTCTAAGCCTTAGTTCTAGCGGTTGGTTTGAACTCAAGAATGGTGTTTGAAAACTGATTCTGTTTATGCTTGGGTTAGATAAATTTAGGATGGCCACCTAAACTCTAATTCCAAATTGATTGTTTTAAAGATCTTGAGTACGTTATGTTAGAATAAAGGCCCAACGCTAGAGGGGGGTGAATAGCGTTTAAAACAAAATCGCAGGAAATTAAAACGAGAGCGTTAAAGTAAAGAGAGTAAGGAAGGAGCACACCAGATTTTATCCTGGTTCACCACAACATGTGGCTAATCCAGCCCCCCGAGAGACTCTCTCGAGCTACACTAACTCCGTTAAGCTTAAGGGTGCTTAACAAACCGATACAACTTGAGAACCCGAGTAACACGAGCCTCAACACCTTTGCTCGGAGATACCGAACTCCAAGACTTCTCACGAAGGAACAAGGAACTTCCTTGGAGTTTACAACAAAGGAACGACCTCCCTTAAAGTGTATGAAAACACTTAAACACTCAGGAATAAAACTCTCACAAAGAGTAGATATGAGTGAACTAGTAAACGCTCAAGAACACGACAATTTCTTCAAGAATTGGCTCTCAAATAGCTAAGAAAAATAGGAATGCTTATGCAATGAAGGAGTATTGAAATGTTGAAGAATTGTGTGTAAAATGAGAGGATTTGGGTGCCATTTTATAGCCCAAAATGGGATAAACCCGTTGCTAGAATTTCCAACAGGATGAAGACAAATTTTTCAGGGACACAGGCTGATAGTCGATTATCAAAGCCTGATAATCGATTATCCAAAGATTCCCTGTCCAAAAATTTAAAATTCTATCCATTGGAGGACAACGGTAACCCAGATAATCGATTGTCAACAAGTGATAATCGATTATTGGTCCTCTCAGAAGATTCTGGATTTTGGCTGCAAAGACTGATAATCGATTATTGCATAAGTGATAATCGATTATGGCGTGCTTCAGAACTTTGGAAGTTCAAAGCTGCAGGGGCTGATAGTCGATTGTCACTAATGTGATAATCGATTATCACCCAGCTAAAGTCTAGCCAGCTGAAACCCGTTTTGAAAAACCGAGGTCCAAAAACGAAGTGTTCCCAAAAGTAAAAACCAGGTTTGGAAAATATTGTATATGGTATAAAATAGTGAAAACAAGACTTGTTTGGTAAAACTCAAGTCTCCAAGGTCGTATAATACGTGCGTACGGTTTAGACCGTTTTTCACGTGTTAGACCGATTGACCAAGATACAAAAGTGGTTTTTATAAAATAATTATTTGGGAACATTTTAAAAATGCTCAGAGGTAAAAACAGGGTTTAAAATATTGAAAACCACGGAGTTGGTTCGGGCGCCAAAAACCGAACGCCGGAAGCCGAACGTCGAACGCCGAACGCCGACTTAGGTGGTTTTGGTTCTGAGCAAGGACCAGGGATTTTAACAATAAAAGGAATCATCAAAAATGTTTGTTTTGATGCACAAAAAATATTTTATGATTTGTAAAAATTGTTTTGACTTTTTGAGAACCGAGACTTGAATTTAATGTCGGTTTTGATCACAAAAGATCGACTCGACTAAGTCTTCAATTCTTGATCTTGTCCTTGAGTCTCTTAGGTCTTGTTCCAAGCCATTCTTCACGCCTTGAGTTATTCAACGAAACTCTTTATATCCACGGCGGTTTGGCAATTATCAAAACCTGTCAGAAATGAACACGACTTTAGTTTATCGTATAAAGCGTGTTTCAACAATTTCCCCCTTTTTGATAATGGCAGACAAGACGGGAATATGCATAGGGTTTTGATCTTTTTGAAAAAAATCCCCCTTAAAAAAATTCCCCCTTAATATATGCATAGCCCTTATCTTCCCCCTTTTGACATTAACAAAAAGATTGTTAACAACAAAAATCATAAAGATTTTTATCAATTAATTAAGGGAAATAGCGGAGTACATAACGAAAGCATATTAAAAGATGATAAAATAAGGAAGAGAAGAAAGTAGAGCTAGAGCTCTAGAAATCCGGGGAAAGATCATTGAGAAGTTGTTCTTCGTCAATGTCTTCTTCTTCTTCATCTTCGTCACCGTCGCCATCATCATCATCATCATCATCGGCTTCTTCTTCCTCTTCTTCTTCCTCTTCCTTATCGTCCATCTCGTCATCTCTACCAACGTTTTGAGTCCCACTTTGTTCACCTCCGAAATTCGGTGGAGGAACGTAAGGGACCATTTGAGCGTACGGGTAATTGACAAAGTCAAAATACCCGTGAAGTTTACGGCTCAAGGTATTGACGTTGTGTGCCGTTTTAGAGACGTTTGTGTTAATCCGAGAGAGAGTGGCGGTCAAGGCTGCCATTTGCTCGGAGAGAGAAGGATTGGTCGAAGTGGTGGCGGCTGAGGCAGTGGCTCTCGGTTGGCGGCGTGGACGAGGCTGTCGAAACGGAGTCTCGTCGGTGCCCGAGTGGAAAGAGGATTCATCAATCTCCCAATGCTTTGTCCCCTTTATCTTTGGCCCAACATCGGTTTTGATGTTATATTCTTCAAGAATCGCCATGACAAGGAAGGCGTAGGGGAGCGGCCGATTGTCGGAGGTGGCCGTGAACATGTGAGTCATCACAAATTTACACCAATTGAGATTGGCGTTGTGAATCATCGCATGAATTGTGTTCGTGTCCTCCTGGGAGAGAGTGGTGTGATTGAACTTCCTGGGCTTGAGAATCCGTGTCAAAACATAAAAAATGAATCGAAACACGGGACTCATGGAAGCAATCGTAGGGCGCCGCTGTTGGGGAGTGGGTACGAAGTGTCGGATGCCCACTTCCTCCAAGAGAGCGGTCTCGTTGAACCGTGCTCTTTCTTCTCCAACGTAGAGCCCGAGATCCTGTCCATCCCGACGAAGCCCGGTGAGGATTTGAATGTTCTCCTCATTCAAATAGATGTCCACCCCGTTGACGTTAGAGATCAATGCTCCGTCCTCATCCTTTTTCAAGTTCGAGTAGAAAGCTCGAACAAGAAAGGGTAGATAGTTGACCTTCTTGATGTAGAGGAGATCGAGGAAGTTTCCACGTTCGAGGATAATCCGTGCCTCACGTGGAATGGATTCATGAATGAAGCGGGCGGTGGAGAATCGGGGAGGGAGAATCTCCCGATGCTCAAATTTCTCCGAGAACCGCGTCGCCTCTACGTGGTCGTTGAACCAAAGGAACGACCCGTGGAGGTACTTGTGCGCCGGTGGTGGAGGAGCCGAGGAAGAAGCCACGTTCTTGCCGGTGCGGGATCTTTTTCTTTGACCTCCTGCCATTTCAACAAAGAGAGAGAGGGAGAGCAAGACAAAAAAAGAGAAATTTGCAGGGATTTTGCAAGAACACTGAAGAATAATTGCAACAAGGATGAAATATTGATGAATATATGAAGGAATTGTGATTTGAGTGAGTAAAAAATGAAAGGATATCACCAATATATAGTGGAAGAGGCCTGATATGCGTTTGGGAAGTCAAAAAGGTGCCTTGAATGCAGTTCTAACGTCTCTGTAACGGTCAGATTTTTGAAAAATCGTCGTTGATAATCGATTTACACTCCCTGTAAATCGATTATCTGAGGCTTCAGATTCTCCGCCAAAGAAACTGCAGGCTGCGATAGTCGATTTACACAAAACGTGTAATCGATTGTCGTGGTTTGCGCCTGATTTGCTTCAAACTTCTGCGGGCAATGATAGTCGATTATCCTAATGTTGATAATCGATTACTGGCTCCTTCAGTTTCTCCTCCAAATTTCAGCGAGCTGTGATAGTCGATTGTCACAAGCGTGTAAATCGATTTACACCAAGTCTGGAGACAAAAAATTGATTTGCTTAGTTCCCCCTGACTTTGAGACATGAAATTAAAAAAGGAGCCCTGCAAAAAAGAATTAAAAACGTCTCCGACGTTCAAGTTAGTAGGGACCAAAAATAATAATTAATGCACAATTTAGATCATCGTGGAGTCAAGGATTCCGAGTTCACTACGAATGCGGAAGAACGGCTCTTTCTCTAAAGGTTTTGTGAAAATGTCGGCCAATTGGTTGTGTGTTTCAACGAACTCAATTTCGACATCACCTTTGAGAACATGATCTCTAATGAAATGATGCCTAATGTCAATATGTTTCGTCCTTGAGTGAAGAACCGGATTCTTCGTCAAGCTTATGGCACTAGTATTATCACATCGAAGAGGGACGTGATCGATACTAAGGCCATAATCCACAAGTTGTTGCTTCATCCAAAGGATTTGAGCACAACAACTACCGGCGGCAACATATTCCGCTTCGGTTGTGGATAACGCAACACTGACTTGCTTCTTGCTAAACCATGAGACTAAAGAACTACCAAGCAAGTGACAAGTCCCACTCGTACTCTTACGGTCTAATCTACAACCGGCAAAGTCCGAGTCGGAATAGCCAAAAAGATGACAAGGAGACCCCTTGGGGTACCATAGTCCAACGTTCATTGTACCAACAAGATACTTCATTATCCGTTTCACCGCCGTTAAATGCGATTCTTTCGGACAAGATT